CGCTGTACCTCACAGTCAGCAGACACATTCCAGCCAATCAGCAGCAGACCCTCCCTCCCAGACCCTTCCACCTCCTGGACAGCTCACTAAGAATGCAGCTTCACAATGAATGTAAAATGGATGCTGTCCAGGAGGTGGGAGGGTCTGGGAGGGAGGGTCTGCTGCTGATTGGCTGGAATGTGTCTGCTGACTGTGAGGTACAGGGTCAAAGTTTACTCAATGATGAGTCCGTGGCGAACCGTTCGCGAAGCGTTTGGCGAACCGTTCGGCGAACCGTTCGGCGAACCGTTCGGGACATCACTAAATATAAGGCTAAACTCACAAATATAGAGCTGTGTCTGTGTCCACAGGTAAGGCAGGCAGGTGAAAAGTAGTTTCCAAAACAATTTATTAGAGAAAATATAAAAACAGGACTCAAACAAAAGCAGTGTGTAATAACAAAGATTTACACAACCGTAAAGGTCCTTATAAAGAATACAGCATAAAATATAGAGCAAACGCATTTCAACATACCTGCCGATATGCTGGTTTACTTCCGTGTCACTTCCGGTCACGTCCGTATGTCGTCATCGTGGTGACATCACTTCCAGTCTAATATTGATCAAGTCTCTCTGTTACAGGAAGTGATGTGGCATCCATATTGTAAGTAGGTAATTATGCCCACAATTGGGATAATATAATGTATAAAGTGCTCTGTGGACTTGAAACACTTAAATTAGGTACTGATTATATACAAAATCTAAAGAACAGACAAACAGACCAATGAAACACAATTGGGTGCACAATAAAATATCATAAATATAAATTATAAAAGAGCAGTGCTACCAGCTCCCTCCTTCTAATAAATATTAATTCCTACACCCCCTCCCCCCGCATTAAAACCTACGGGGGTCACTATGACTCCCATATTAATAAAAGTTAAATCCTCCCGCATACCCCTACTCACGGAATGTTGTCTAAACAGCGAGCAGTGGCTGCTCGCTGTCATTTAAAACTACTAGTGTATGTGCATGTCCTCCTTAATTAATTAGGGTCCCCAGGACCCCATCCATAAGTGGCGGGTGGGGACCCTAATTAATTAAGGAGGAGGACCTAATGTCCCCCCTAGTTCCCACCCATGAGCGGTGGGTGGGGGACCTAATGTCCCCCCAGGTCTCCACCCATGAGCATTGGGTGGAGACCCAAATTAATTAAAGCTGGGGACCTAATCTCCCCCCTGGTCCCCACCCATGAGTGCCAGGTGGGGATCCTAATTAATTAAATAATGGGGGGACCTAATGTCCCCCCCAGGTCTCCACCCATGACTGGCAGGTGGGGAACTTAAATAATTAAATAATGGGAGGAACCTAATGACACCACCAGGTCCCCACCCATAAGTGGTGGGTGGGGACCACAAATAATAAAGTGACTAGGGGTCCCCAAGTCCCTTGTCACTCACCCCCTCCAATAAAAAGAAAAAAAGCATCTAATGGTAAGTAAGAAATTGAATTTTTCAGGGTATTAGTTTATTGCCCCCCTCACTATTATTAGGGTGAGGGAGGGTAGGTAGGGTATTTTTATTGGGGGGAGTGACAAGGGGCTTGGGGATCCCTAATTACTTTATTATGTGTGGTTCCACCCGCCGGTCATTGGTATGGGGACCTGGGGGGGACATTAGGTCCCCCCATTATTAGGTTACTTATTGAATTAGCCCCACCCCATTATTTATTTATTTAGGGTCCCCACCCGCCACTCATTGTAGGGACCAGTGGGAGAAAAGGTCCCCCCCTTTAATTAATTAGGGTCCCCACTCGACCTTACTCCTAACCCAAACCTAACCCTAATCCTACCCCTAACCCTACTCCTAACCCAATCCCAACCCTAACCCTACTCCTAACCCAACCCTAACCCTACTACTAACCCTACCCCGTAACCCAACCCTAACCCTACACTTACACTAAATCCCGAAGTGCCAAAGTCCCGAATTTCAGAGATGCCGAACTGAACCGAAGTGCCAAATTGCTGAAGTCCCGAATTGCCAAAGTACTGAATTTCTGAAGTGCTGAACCGAACCGAATTGCCAAAGTGCCGAATTGCCGAAGTGCCGAATTTTGGAATGCTGAACCGAACAAAATGTTTTGCCCATGCACATCCCTAACAGTGACTGAGTCACACCACACAAAAACAAAAGTTTTAGACTTTAGAAAAACAGACTTTTCTAAAATTAGAATATGTTTAAAGGAGTCATTATCAGACGGAAGCAATTTATATGGAGTCCAAGAGAAATGGGATCATTTAAAAGTTGCACTGCTGAAGGCAACAGAAATTTGCATTAGGCTTGTCAGTAAAAAAATCAGATGTGGACAAAATAGTAAAAAACTAAAAGTTAGCATTTAGTAATTATAAAAAAAAACCCGAGTGAGGAAGACAGAATGATCAATCAGATTACACAGAAAGAGGCTAAGCAAGTTATAAGAGCTTCCAAATCACACACAGAAGAGAAATTAGCACAGTCAGTAAAAAAGGGACAAAATATTTTTTAAATACATAAATGAGAAAAGGAAAGTAAAACAACGATTAGTTAGATCAAAAACAAAAGAAGGAAGGTATGTAGAAGAGGTCTAGCTGACTACCTCAATAAATATTTTTCTTCAGTATTTACAGATGAAAATGAGGAAAGGGGTCTCAGTTAGGAAAAAGGATAAATTATTAATTTGTTACATGTGAGTTTACAGAGGAAGAGGTTCTATTTCAACTGTCAAAAGTAAAGACAAATAAGTCAATGGGACCTGATGGAATACACCTAACAATATTAAAAGAGCTTAGTGGTGTACTAGTAAAATCATTACCAGATTTATTTAACCAATCATTGTTAACAGGAATAGTCCCAGAAGATTGGAAGTTAGCGAATGTTGTGCCCATTCAAAACAAAGGTAATAGGGAGGAGTCGGGCAACTATAGGCCAGTAAGCCTTACTTCAGGAGTGGGGAAAGTGATGGAAACCATGTTAAAGGATAGGATTGTTGAACATCTAAAATCACATGGATTTCAAGATCAGAGACAACATGGGTTTACTTCAGGGAGATCATGCCAAACTAATCTTATTGATATATTTTGATTAGGTAACTAAAATAATAGATCAGGGTGGTGCAGTAGACATTGCTTTCCTAGATTTTAGTAAGGCTTTTGACACTGTTGCACATAGAAGGCTTATCACTAAACTGTAATCTTTAAGTTTGGATTCCAATATTGTTGAATGGGTTAGGCAGTGGCTAAGTGACAGGCAATGGAGTATATTTGAAGCATGGGCTTGCAACTAGTGGGGTACCTCAGGGATCTGTACTTGGACCCAGGGCTGCCACCAGAAATTTTGGGGCCCCTAACTCAGCTCAGGGTCTGGGCCCCCTGGGGCCCGCCTCCAAATACCGCCCACTGGGTCCGTCTCCAAATACCGCCCACAGGAATACACACACAGACACACACACTGATACAAAAGGACACATATACATATTAACAGACACACATACTGAAACAGACATACACGCATACAGGCATACATACTGACACACACATACTGAGACATACACACAGGCATACATAGTGACAGACAGACATACTGGGGACATACTGTGGAGTTACTGGGTGGCCACCATTTCCTGTATCAGAGGCAAATGGTGAGAACAATGGATGAAGCACATGGTGAGAACAATGGATGGCGGCCATTTTAACTCACAGACACTGTTTGGACTTTTCAACACGGTGCCATCTCGCCGGTATTTGGTGCACAGAGACATCGTTCACTGGTTTTGGACTATACAACAGAGGACACATTATACAGTAATTGTTTTTCATTTAGCCTGCATATGTTCTGTGGAATCTGCATTAAACTGTATCTTCCAAAGTACTGAACGGATCTGGGTGAATTTTGGATATGTGGTTCACCCAGATTCCCCTGTACCAAGGATATACTTTTTATGGGGTTATTGTATGTTTTGGGGTCCCTGTGATGTGTTTTATGATACTATATTTCTCTGCCTGTGATAATTAGATTACCCATTATGTTCAGTAATCATATCACAGGCAGAGGGGAGGATTTTGTGTGGGAGTGTCTGTGTGTATTGTACAGATTGATTGGCTGTGTTTCAAAACCCTGTGGGCAGTACTAAATTTGTGGATTGGGAATAAAAGAGGCTGTATGTGCCAGTACAGGCAGTTCCTGCTTAACCCTCAAAGTGAAGTGTCGTCTCGTTATTGGGGAAGGATTTATTGTATGCTGTTCCAGTTTGACTGCTAGGAGTCTAAACCCATCCGTATGGTTTTTGCCTGTTCAGCTGTTTCCAGTATTCGTGAGTTTCCTGTTCAGGAGTTGAAGAATTCGTGTAGTCTGCAGTTCGGGAGATTGGTGATTGCAGTAGCTGTCTGTGCATCTGAAAGGGGAATATCACCTAAACGGTTTTTAACCTCTTGTGTGCAAAACGGTCCGTTACACAGACATACATCCATACAGACATACACATACATACAGACAGACATAGACATACATACAGACATACATACAGACAGACATACAGACATACATGCATGCATACATACAGACAGACATACATAGACATACATGCATACAGACAGACAGACATACATGCATACAGACAGACAAACATACATAGACATACATGCATACAGACAGACATGCATACAGACATACATACATACATACACATACATAGACATACATACATACATACATTGTCTGCATGCATGTATGTCTGACAGACAGACATACATAGACATACATACATGCATACATACAGACATACAGACATACATGCATGCATACAGACATACATACATACATACACATACATACATTCAGACAGACATACAGACATACATGCATGCATACAGACATACATACATACACATACATACAGACAGAGATACATACACAGACATACAGACAGACATACATGAATGCATACAGACATACCTACACATACATACATACACATACATACAGACAGACATACATAGACATACATACATGCATACATACAGACATACATGCATGCATACAGACATATATACATACATACATACACATACATACATTCAGACAGACATACAGACATACATGCATGCATACAGACATACATACATACACATACAGACAGACAGAGATACATACACAGACATACAGACAGACATACAGA